CTGCTGTGGAGAATTGTAAAACGGGAGATTATTGCAGCATAGAGGCTTCTATATGACTGTGTATGATATGTAGTATATTATACAATATACATGTATAATACGATAATATAGATGAACAAGGGCCTACATGCGAACATATTATATTGTATGGCTTAAGATAAGACAGTGTCACGATACAATCAAAATAAAAATATAAATATTGCCATAAAATAAATTTAACTTCAAAAAATTATGTGTATTTATATTATTATTACATTTTTCTAATATTGAAATAAGAAAAAAATTGTTTACAAACAACATAATAAATGTTTTTATTGTTCATTTTACGATTACATACATTATACATAACATATACGCTTAGATATTTTTTAAAATACTTAAACTTTAGAACAAAATATTACAAGTCAAAAAAGGATGTATTGAAGCACATTCATCGATCGACGATTGTGTATGAAATAAGTGTGATATAACGATATATATGCAATATATTTGCAAGTACCGACATGCATTTCTCTAGCAACAAGCAATATAGCTCGTACATGGACATTACGACGCCGATAGCCCAAAGAAACCGTTTATTGATTCACGCATATATTTCCATATTATAACATTCAATATGGTTGCATATCGTATGGATAATCGCACTGAATTTAAATATTATATCATAACAATAAAATATTATTGTTTCAGTTCCCTGCAAAAATATGTCGATCATCGACCGTGCTAAAAAAAAGAAAACAATAGGGAAAAAGTCTCATTCCTTTTTGATACAGTGACTATATAATATTATGGAGACCTCACGTATCTGATATGATAGTGTAAATGTGCGAGTTCCGCATAGAATTCTCCTGAATCTCAATATTTCTGTACACGTGGGTATTTGCGGTCTATGCCAATATATTATCATGAACTCGCATCCATCTTGGTGATTTCCAAAAAAAATATTATTATTTTATTTATAATATACTACAAACGGCGTGTCATGCGGGTTCTGACGAGAAAACATGTAAGATGTATCTAAAAAGTATCAGTATTTGATCTTCGCCAATAGGTTCAGATATTCGAGGGTGGCGGGTTCCGATCTGACAGAGAACTCCAGAGCGGTGGACTACTATAGTATTGATATAAAGGTGAGGGGATAAGGTGAGACACGCCTTGTCTATCATCCCCACCGTGGCTTCTCCAAATGTAAAAATCTTTTACGCCTCATTGCTGCCTCAAGCATTTATACTATAACAAGCGATAAGAAAAATGGTCTCTGACCGCATGGGGGTCATTCTACGACTGTATATTATTATTGTTTAATAAACGATAGTTCATGGGGGCCAAGTGGTGTTCAAACAGTTCACCTCTCATTTAGCGATATTATAATGATAATTTAAAAAATTGGTTCAGATGACAATACAGAGTCACTAAGAATGCTAATTATTATTTTTGAATAAAACTCACCCATCCGAAAGCACTTGATTTTGAAAGATGGATTGGTAGAAAACATAATAATATATAGATAAGTAAATAATTAGATCCGTACATTTAGTTTAGGGCTTGAACTCCGCATAGGTATTTCTGATTTTAGAGGATACAATTATAAAATTGGATAACCCTAACAATAAATTACCAAGTAACTTTATAAAATAATTTTAATGATATTATACATCTATACATATTACATATAAATATAACTGTAAATTATTTGTTTAATACTAAATTTAACGAAATATCTTGTTTAAGGATCAACGAAATGATTTACTAATAACGACCTCGTCCCTCATCCGTACGTCAATGGTAATGATATATCGAAACTATGTGTACATAATATATACACAGTTGTAAATGATGACATTTATAATATAAGTTCACTCAAATTTTTTATCAACTATCTATAGTGCCTTCGATACCTATTCGGCATGAATGATGTTTTTGTCCATCGTGCATTCATATATAAATAATAAATAAAATATTGTGTAATAAATATACAAAAATATTGAGTGTGCTTCAACGTCATCAAAGGGAATTTTTTTAAAACTCAATATATAATTGAGGCAGAATTAATAAGTAATTTTAGTCCAAGTGTTTTATGTATACACACAAACCACATAATATAACCAGAGAAAAAATGTTAAGGGACACATACTTTTGTGGTTGACGTTAAAGGGCAGAGTACACAAACCCAATCCGCCTGCGGTCATGTTACAATATTAGTTTTTAAAAACCATTACAATTTTCTTGTTACTCTTTTCTTTGAATGATTTTGAATATATCGTAGTATCAGAAAAACAGCGTTCACGCAACTTTATCTCATTTTGCCACGATGCGTGTACATTGCAGATCAGGACAACGAATTCGTATGTAAATTGTATTTAACATAATCGATGAAACGATGTATACATCGTTCGATAGAGAATTTTTCTTCGCATTTCTCTGAACTATAAAGACCAATTAAAAAAAATTGACGTCAATACTAATCAGGGGTCACATTATCACAATTATCTTCTTACGAGTGTCTATAACACCGAGGCCATAGTTTATAGATTAGAAGTAAATATTACAGCTCAGGCGAAAACTGCTGAATATCTGCGATGGACTGAATGACTGATATATATTTACCTATGTGGCAATGTAGGTATCTCCACCACGTGGACCTGTCTGATCCACGAACAGATCTGTCGAGTGTGATCTATGACGCGAAGGTATCATAACATTATGTGATAAATGATAAATAATACAACTATAATGTGTCATCACAATTTACAAACTAGTATGTTTTTTCAAGAGTGAAAAACCGCAACCGTATACTATATAATATTATAATTGGGGTATATATGTTTTTTCGTGTTTGAAATGAGAATACACCTCTCAGGCACGTTTTTATTTCCGCGGAATTAAACCACGCGATGGCGCAATCGAACTTAGAATTAGGTCAACACAACGGGTGATTAGATAGCGAACACATTATGTAGTAGTTGTGGTGCGTGTTTTTTTGTTGTTGTCCGTGCGACAGACCGTCGGATATTGTCTGAATTTTATCACATCACTTTGGATGACACGAGAATTTTAAAAGTCGAGACATTATATTATTATGATGTCGTAACGTTCGTTAAATTGATTCGCAATGATGAGTATTTTAGCCGCATCAACTTTATATTCGCTTTATAACTACACGTGTATATTATAATTGGTACGTAAAATATAAATGAGGTATAATATTCTTAGCCACAATTTATAACCATTGGACTATAAAAACGTTTAGCAGTTATAATTCTTAGTATAAAATAAAATAACCAATATTAAGAACAATGTTTTGTTGTTATGAATTGCTTAACTTTAACTCGAATCCGTCAAAAAGTACTTTCGTGATTTATTTTCTCCATGCATTCATTCATATAGACCGACTCCGAACTCGTAATGTTATAACACCATCCAAACAGTTCGAAGTTTTCTCAAGAACACACATTAAGGCCGAGAGGCGCTTTTAAGGTGACACGTTGGGAGTAATATCGTTTCGACATTAAAACACGTTTAACGTGCCGTAAAGTTCTTGAGGATGACCTAAGCCCGAAGGACTTCCAAAACCTATAAGGTCTCGACGTTTTTATCCTACGCGAACGTTACACTGTCGTCATAAGTATAATATATCCACAAAATAATAATCGTCAGAGCGTCCGACATTAGTGTATCGCGTACATATCATTATATATATATGTGTGTACATGTATATAGATCTCTGAATGTTTCGTTTTGCTTTAAAAATCGTTATAGAACATAATATATATATTATGTATTACAAGGCCACCGGTACGATTAAAAAAGGTTCGGGCTGTATTCTATTCACTGTGGCGATGGCGGTGGTATAGAATAGCCAGACCGTATTCAAATACTATTCACTTTCGTTTTCGAAATCACTGGACGGCAACAACGACGACTCACCTACACACGCCGAATAAAATATCGTCCGACCGACCGTCGAGAGGTCGGACTAACAATCTCATCGGTTCATACCAAATGGTAGTAAGATATTTTGTTGAAAATGTCACAGTCGATAGCCGATAGGTAGACGTTTTCGACGGATTAATAATTAGCTAAGGGTATACCTATATTTAGTATATATATATATAAGCCCCGTATTAGACACGCGAAAGTACATAGAAAATATAATCAGCGTTAAGATGTTACGGTGAAAAATATACCTACAGGTATTCATCGATATTCTTGTAATGTAACGTTTGTTATAATATTATATTGTTCGAATCGCATTTAAGGATTGTTTACACTTTTACCTACCAATGTAATGAAGGTAGTTTGATATTGAATGCAAATTTCGTATAATTTCAAAATGTTATTGTTGTTTAAATATTGATTTTAGTGAACTTAATTTGGAAGCTAAATTATCTTCGTACTCGTATGATTGCAACATATTATTATTTGTTCCTGAGAGATGCTAATAGTAATGTTATATACTTCAATAAAGCTTCACGCCTGTCTTCATTATTTTTCTAAAGTAATCTAATGAGTTATTTGTACTTAAAGCATAAATTATTTAACTGAAGATTAACTTTAAGGAGGATTTAATAGAATAATATAAAATATCATGTAAAATTTAGTCTGCAACTGCATTAGGCATGATATAAAAAACTGGACGGTTACGTTATTGTTCGTTAAAATATTAGACAATACATATTTTCTCGAGAATGACTTTAACGGGTATAATATAATAAGTTAATGCGTTGTAAACATGAAATTCGATGTCAAAAATAATATTTTAAATTTTGACCATAATATATTGCTGCTTGACATGGATTTGTTTTTTTTATGCTCCATTCATCGCACTCATGGGGATAATAATTACTACCATCCTATCAATATAAAACAGCAAAAAATATATAAGCATAAGAACTCATTTTAACAGACGATCGGTTAGGTCTATTAACGGATCGTCGTCTGTTGCTGCAGCAGTATATTCTAATTTATAATAATATTTTAAGGACACTCGTTGCACTTACCGTACATGATGGTAATCCAAATCGAATTCTACAGACGTAAATCATAGTAGTATATTTTGTTCTCGTACTCGCGGCCGAAACCGGAAGGAACCCAAACTCTCACTCTCGCGTTAACACAATAAACACACGAGTAATGCGGCGGGCGGGCGGGCAAGCGGTCGGTCGGTGTATATTATAATATTGTATCGTATTACGATAGATATACAGACGAGCTAGGACGAGGGTCTCTGAGCGATTTTTCCTTTTCTCATAATATATTTTTCCTCGTCTTTCACCTCTAGTATTTCCCGTACCGGATGCGGGAAAATCTGCCCCGACGAACTCGACCCCGACCCCTTCGCGGCCGGCGAAAGGCTACACTATATAGACAGTTGAGCGGACGAGAGGCGTAAAATATTATTTTAATATGAAATAAAGACGACGACGACGGTTTATTATTTCTAAAAAATACGACTCGAAAGATATTTTGATTTGAAGAACTCGATTTTTCCCCGGTATACACTTGCGGACGGCGGGAACACTCGCGGATGACGAAAAATAAGTGTGGACAAAACAAATTTTAAAAAAAAAACACACACACGCACACACGTTTACACACACTCACACACCGTACTTTCGATGGTCGTGTCTACCGCGCGCAGTGCCGCGGATGGTATAATACGCACGGCGACGTCGACGAGGACTACGGCGGCGGCTGCGGCGTGCGGTTTGTTTCGACACGCAACTGGTTCGGCGGCGTGTAATGCACTCACTCGACGGCGCATGCGCCCCGCCGACGTCGCCGCCGCCGCCTCGGCAGTCGATGTGCACATAATATTATTATTATTATTATTATTATTATTACTATTACCATTACTATCGTCATCGCCGTCAACACCGTTATACACCGTGATGTAAAAATTTAAAAAACGTGCTTGACGGTATACGGAGTGAAGCTATCCCGCCGTAACTGCCTCCCCCCCTTCGCACCCTCCCCACCTAGTAATTATGCAACACGTTCCTTTTCACGGCGAACCACGAGCTGTCGGCGGGGAGTGGTGGTCGGCGGCTGTGACGTGAATGACGGTGACGGGCTTCGGCGGCGGCGGCGGTGGCGGTCCGGTTCCACTGTCTATTTCTACCGCGCGTGGTAGACCCCTTTCCCTTTCTACGGCCTCCGCCGCTCGAGTATAAGTGGACAGTGGTACAAAACATCGCCTGTCGGACAGCACTACTCAACTTTTACGCCGATGACAAAAACCAGCGATTAAATGGATGGGGCGTGTGTAACACTTACCGGGGGGGGGGGGGGGGGTCGGTGTCCCCCATCTACTACACCCCCCGAAGGTTAAGAAATAGCCGAGCGTACGTCGGACGTGACGAAACGTATTTCACCGCTGTTATATTATAGTAGTACGGATGGTCAAACGGGGGGATTGGCTGTAGGGAATTAATAGGAAATAATAAAAAACGATCCTTTATTCATAAATATTATTATTCAGAGAGAGAACACGCCCCGCCGAAAATCGGTTTTTTTGCGCAACCTCACGTGATGCCTTGCCATAGGGAACCGGGCTCGATGGCAAGGTGATACTTGGGGATATGCAGAATTTGAGTGTTTTCGGAAAGAGTGGTGACATAATTGAGCAGTCCCCGCGTGAATGGCTGGATGGCGTTTTATTTGTTGGTTTTAAAAATAGGGTTGGAAAATTGCCCCGTTTTTTCGTTTACAAAAGCATGATTGAGAAAATGAAAACATTTCTACTCATTTAATAAAATATAACAACAGTGATAACGCCATAAAAAATTTTAATCGGCTGGTCGTAATGACATCCAAATAAGTACATGATATGTATGTATAATCAGTTCAGTTCTCATGCAGACATGTAGTGGTACAAATATATATATAGGTGTATATGACAACGTGTAATGTTTGAATAATCAAATTTTTTTTAACGAATCAAAGTTGAATATTTTGGAAATATACTGAATTTGGTGTGTTCGGCTATATGGGACCTACAGCTAATGAAAAAAATATGGTCTTCGCATTGGATGTTGATGATCGTAAATTCTTATAGGCATATTAAAATAATTATAATATTATTATGTCTTTTTTTTCAGATCTTCGTCGGATTACAAAATATCTAAGCCAACACTATGCGAGCAAGGCGATGTCACGATACTCGGGTGCCATTTGCTGCAGGACTCGTGTACTTACTTGTACAATCGTACCTAATACCTATATTTATTTTTATTATACCTTCACGCATCGCAGGCGTATAATATTGTACACGTCGGCACGTCAACGCATATTAATGGCCAAACGAAATCGGAAACCCGATGAGACGGTATAATGGGAAAAGAAAACGATAGAAAACAAAAGTGATAACTATTGCGTAACCCCGCGTTTCCACGCAGCGAAATATGAAGAAAAAAAAACAAATATCCAACCCGGCGGAATCGATGATTTTTACCAGGAATCTTGACTGCCTCCAAATATTATACTAACAAGTGTCAAAAGTTATTGTGTTTAGTTTTATTTTTCAATGAAAAAAACTTTTGAACTACGATTATATTTTAATGATGGCGCGTCTGAAATGGCTCAGTGTTATCTCCACCCCCCCAGACATGCCTTTAATGAGCCACTGGAGAGACTTCAATTCTTTATTGAGATATAACTTTAGATTGTAAATTATATACCTAATATCCATATTCGTTTCTGGTTTTTATTTGCAAAATGTAGGTTAGTGATTTTTTTCAGTAATTTTGTCTGTTATCTTTAAGGGCTTAAAGTAGTATTACTATATGTCTATGTAATAAATAAATTATCATATGTTAAATTGATTTAAGTTAAATAACTTAGATTTTTATCGATTTCATTTTTTTTAAAGCTATCGAGGTTTCCTCGATGGATTCTCCTCAATGGCCGCCATCGCCGAGTGTAATGTCATCTTAACATTGTTTAACATCTGGTTTCGACGTCATGTGAACAACCATCTAGAATTAATATTTAATAATACTTTCATTATTATATATTATATACAATCATACAAACATGAAACAATTACGTTCAGTTATTAATTTCTATCTTATATATAATATCATGTACCTATGTAATATTACTAAATGAGTAATAAGTAATTAAAGTACATGTAACTGTGACCATAAATCATAATATAATAATAACTTATAAAACAAAATATGTATACTCGATGCTTTATAGCTCATACAATTGTTCCTTGTTCGTGTTACTTTAAAATGGTATGAATAATCTGATTTTTAACAGAATTGTTATTATAATTTATTTTAATGTAATATAAACTATTAAATATAAAAGAAATAACTAATAATTGTATTGATTTAGTCGTAATTGGTTTACGAAACGGTAATTACTATGATCACTTGAATAGTTTAATATATAATTAAATACTGTCAATCCGATTATCATACTTATTTTCAAATCGGAACTGTACTCATATTATGTTGTTAAACAAATGAAATTTGTATTATTATTTTCTGTTCAAGTTGTTTTATAGGATCCTTTATTATTTTTGGTATAATGGGCATATTTTTGTTTTAAATGTTAACTTGAAGATTTTATAAAATAAGTCGTTCATTAGTGACATTATACACATCACATTTTACAGTAATGAGCCGTAGCAGTGTGACAACATTGTCGTTAGAGTCAATGAGGAGAATTCTCAGGCACAGTTCTTGCTTGCTAAGTGCAGTACCTACATTGTAGTGAAGACGAATAGTCGGTAGCTACAATACAGATGGATAGTCGAGCGATTTTCTATGATTTGCATGTATAGATTGGAATGGATAGTGCTGGTCGCAGTCCATCTTATTGTGTCAAATATTATAATAAAAGGCGTTTGTAATTTATTAAACAAATGGTTTTTGACTAAAATGTTTTTTTTTTTTAAATTTGATGTTTTGACAGAAAGCCTTTTTTGGATGCCATACATCCCTATATGGGCTTGATAAGGAGATTTTAAGTATTTAATTTGTTTTGCATGGTGGGAATAATCGATATTGGAACATTGTCTATTCCATGTAATTAACTTGCTTTCTGATCAGTTAAAATGTCCTACAAATTATTTTATAATTAGTAAAATAGTAAAATGTGAATGATATTAGATTCAGATATGTTGTTTAGAGACAGTTTTTTGTTTCTTGATTTATAGTAATAATTAACTTAAAATCATTTAAATCAATATGTTAATATAATCACTACCAATTGTGGATATAACTATAAGAAAGTCAATATTAGTATTATGGTACTTGATGTCTCCATGTTATACGATTATTAATAGTTTACCTATGGTAAAATTAGTGCCACTATAAATTAAATAAATATATCGGTTCAAACTATGTTTGGTATTAATGAATTGAATAATAAAAAATTTAAATTAAACAAAGCTTTTGATGTTTTTGAAATGATAGTGATAATATTTTTTTTTCTTCTTTGTTAAGTCAAAAAAAAAAACATTGAATCTGCTTGTGTTGAAATAAATGTTAATTTTTAACTAAAAAAAGTTTTTCTTTGTAAGTTTAACCTGCAACTTCAATCAGCCTATAGCCTATGGCCCTCGCATATGCATACGACTGCTTAATTAAGGCGTGTTATTAATAGAGCACGGATTTGTACGTACTAAATAATATGCTATAAAATGTTGTAAAAATCATTAAAATATGCAAAACAAATTTGAAAAAAACACCTGCGAAATTCCTGCGAAATTCAAATAAAATGTATTTTTTAATTATTAAGTTATCATGTACAGGTATCTATAAAAAAACTGTTTAATCAATTTGACAACCTCATTAGGTGCTTAATCCACTGACAAAAATCCAAAAATAAAATACAATTGAATACAAATTCATGATCTAGTTATTAACAACATGTACATAATTTTTTCTTTACGTTTTGTACATGAAAAATATTATATTTGCATGGGTAAACTGAGAAATTTGTGAATTATTTAGAACTTCACTAAAATGATTTGAAAAGTACCTATAGTAGCTTATAGATAAGACGAATATCTATATGACTATATCCAAGTACAAATGTATTATATCTGGCAATATAAAGTAAATAGATAGGTACCTAAACAACAAACATTTATATACAGTAAATACAGACATTAGGTTAGATATTATAAGTTAAATAATACGAAATTATACAATAATAATAGTCGAAGACCTGAGTATAATATACAAATGAAAATTCGTCAGATACATTATATTTGCATAGGCCATGGTTGTCTAAGCAGTCTGAGCATGACTGAATAATTTGGACTTTTGCTTTCATCATAAATTATTATTATGGTTAGTTTTAGTATTCAATAGATAAACTTGTTAATTTTTCAAACAAACAACATTTATCGATAGGTACTTGGTACTCATAATGATGTAAAATATATTATATATATCTTGTAGTAATGAAAAAATATTATAATGATATAAATACTATAGGGACCTATGCAATATAATAATATATCAATTGCAACGATAGGATAGAAATAATTATTTTAATAAACACATATTTATAATAATAAGTGATTGCAGAAGTGCCACTACAATCGAGTGTGAAAGATATACATCGTTAGCACTTATATAATATACATAATTTAGATATTATATAGTATGCTATTATCATATTATTGTTTATGGACATAAAAAGCCCCCCCCCCAAAAAAAAAACATTTATTGAATAATTTTACAACA